ACTGGCTGAAGGAGGCTCGAATGACCCTAGAAACTAAGCAGATAGTGGAGATCCTGACTGCATACGCCAGCGCCGTAGGAATAGGAACCACTCAAGTGCAGCAAGAGTAAGGCCTAGGGAAAGTTGTGTAATGTCATATTTCATATCAAAGAAAATCGGCATTGGTATCTGCAGGGTTTGCAACAAGGGTCCCAGAATTGTCCAGAAATGAGCAGGTTCCAAGTCCTGTGTGAGATGTTAACACCTGTTGCATTTACCGTCCTTACACTGCTATCATGCCAATGAACTCCAGGAGGCTTTATCTGCAACTTGTGTAACACTTCCTGTTTTTTAGGTTTTACTGATCAGGCTTGTGAGCCACTCAAAATAATGTTTGTGATCCCTACTATTGATTCTGCCCTTGGAGCAAACTGAATAAAGCAACACAATGAAAACTGAGTACTCTATCCCTTTTCAAACCTGCCATTTCCAGTTTGTTGTGTGAGCAGAAAGCTTCCTTGAAAAGCAGCATCAGTGCTAGGAACTTGTGGCCACAGTGTGGGGGCTGTGAGCTGGGTAACCTGAAGTCCAGGGCCTGCTGCTTTGCCTTTGAGTGTCTGGGTGAATGGATCCCCTCCTGACAGTCACCATCAGGTGAAGAAGCCAAATGCCAGTGTGTTTATAGTTGGGAATCTAGCACTCTGATTGAGCAGCACAGGAAGTAATCTGCATCCCACACTGTTCTGATAGCCTCCCACAGGAAAAGTTGTTCATTGTACTGGGATCCAGCACACATGCATCTGTGCCTCTACTCAGAGTTCAGGAGCCACTGTTTTCCAGTACCTGGAGGGTAATGAGCCTGGAATCTGAAGAAAGGGATTGAATATGTTTTTCCTGTTTCATCCAGACTGCCAGTGAATCCCAGTTTGTCATATTTGCCATAATGCAGAAATATTAGCAAATTCCTACTTTTGACTTAATTCTTATAATCTGAAGACTACCATCGCTACAAAATCTTGTCAATTTTTACACTTTTTTTGTTGTTGTTGAGTTGTGTTTGTTAGATGAAGGAGGATTTTCCGGTTGAGCAACATACCCACAAAGCAGGAAGGCAGTTTCTGTATTGTATTTCTATCATTGCATACCTGCAGCCTCTCTCTCAGTATGGGAGATCACTCAGCGCTCTGCACCGCTCTGGCCTTGTCCTTTGGTTTGGTAGACACTTCACCCTGGGCTACTGCTCAAGCTCTGTCTCCATTTGGAGCACCTGCATGTGGATTGCCCTGTTTCTCAAGATAGAGGCATGGTGGGCACCTATCTGGGGTGGGGCTATAAAGATTTTACTTGAAGATAAGGGAGTATCCACCTCCCTACTCCCTTCTCTAAGGATAGGATAAAATCTCAGAAGTACATTAGTTTGTAATACTTAAAACATTTGTTTGCCATGTAAACTGAGTGTAGTTTCTGTTCTAATCACAAGAATATACTTAATTGTAAGGAAATCCAATTTCTCTTGGAACCTTGAAAAACTTCTCACATGTGACTACTTCATTGTGGTTCATGCTTACAATCAAGTCAGGCCAGACTGAGCTACATCATCGATTCTGTGTCAATACACCTGGGGGGGGGGCATAAATGTTGTGATTAAGCTCATCAAAAACAACGGCTCATTATAGTTCTGTATCAAAGTCATGAAGACTTCAGATCTTTTTTCTGTATGTGTGTACATGTCCTCCACTGGTTTTTGAGACAGTCTTTACTGGCCTGAACTCATCAAGTAGACTAGGTTGAATGGCCAGTGTTTCAAGCATATGCTATTGAGTCAGACGTTTTTGGTGGGAGGGGTTACTTGTGGGCCCTAGGAATGAGCTCCAGGTCTGATGCCGCACTTCACAGCCTGAGTTATCTCCCTAGCCTCTGGCTTTCAGATTTTGGTAAATAAGACAGTGGCTTTCACAGAGTACCTTTATTATATAGAAAAGGGAAGGAAATGCCTGCTTAGCCCAGTCTTTGTTCTTGCTCATGACTTGTTCAGATGTTCTCAGTTACTGCTAAAGTGAAAAAGAGTTTTGAGTTCTTACTCCATTTCAAGGAAATAGAAGCTCAAGGCTCACACTGTAAAGTTTAAAGTGCCTGGTGGTCAGAATCAGCTTCATGCAGCATCTCCTTTAAGGTGCAAATGAAAGCATATCACTGGAACGTAAAACTGACAGACACAAAGCTAAGCCATCACCTATGTCCACTCACCACACTGCCGCCTCCTCATTGCTGTGAGAACATTCACACTGGGTGTGGTGGGGATGACTGATCCTAGCTATGGAGCTGGCAACAGGAAAATCAGAAATCCTTTTTAGACCAGATTTGATCTTTTTCCAAGGTGGGGGAAAAAAAGCCAGCAGGTGAAAAACAATGAGCTATATCATGCTTCTAAACAAAATGTTGGCTTTTGCCTCAATGATTTTTTTTCTAAGAAGGGGCGCTCTGTGTAGCCCTGGCTGTCCTGGAACTCTGCTTCAATGACTTTTTTTGAGTTCCCAAACCAGTAATTAAGCTACAGTAGAATCTTTAGCAATCTTTTAATACAGTACACCGAGTTAACTTCCATCCTTTGTTCTCTCAACAGGTTCTGGATAAAAGCAGTCTGCAAATCTCAAATGAGTAATCCTACCAGTTTCAAAGTAACTTGTTTGAACTCAGTGCAGAAGAACAGGTCATCTCCATTAATATAAAAGGCAAATAAAAAGGCTTGACTGGTAGGAAGCCTGTCTTCATGGGGTTCAGTGGTCTAGGCTTCTTGCAGTTTGAGGCATCTAAGAGGCAGGGAGAAGGTAAAGTTTAATGAGTTCTGAATGGTTATAAAGCACTATCTGGTAGAGAGGACATTGCTATTAGAGTACATCCCATTCGTACAGGGTTGAGGTCCTTAGGAGTAAATAACCTTTACTTTTGGCTACTATGAGGCATCAAGAGTATTAATTTTAAAGTGTGCTGAGTTCTGAATCCTTGGAAAAGTCCAGGTCAGGTTCAGGTATGTAGTACTCTTTATTATGCTTTACTGACTCTGGCGGATTTTAATCACATTTTACACATGACTCTATACCAAATCAGTATACCCTTTTCTCTGGTAAAACTACATTTCACCTTTAAAGCCAACCATTCTATAAAGTCAGCACTGTATCCACACACAGATGATCTACATTATCCTGACCAATGTTTCTAGCAGGAATGCTTCTTCCACTATCTTAGTATACATAGCAATCCGTGTATGTGATCACAGTTTTAGGCAATAGGTTTGGATCTTAATCTGTTTTATTAAGAAATTTTTTTTTATTAAGAAATTTTGGTACTCTTCCCCCTTCAGAGGTTTCAATCCCTGGGGTTTTAAAGAAAAATATTTTTCAAAAGAAATAACAAAAAGGGAAGGGCAGTTACAGAAGACCACAAAACCACAGACAGAACAATCTTGAATCTATTTCCTCTGGACCTCATTCTGAGTGTAGTCAGGTTTTATAGAAGTATAGTTAAAAGAAAATTTTTTTGTTTTGTTTTTTTGAGACAGGGTTCCTTTGTGTTCCAGTCAGTCATGGAAGACCGTAGACTAGGTTGGCCTTGAACTCAGAGATAGAGATATGTCTGCTTCTGCCAGAATTAAAAGCATGCACCACTGCCACCTGGCTCCACACAAGATTTTTGGTTTTTTTGTTTTTTTTTTTTGTTTTTTGAGACAGGGTTTCACTGTGTAGTCCTGGCTGTCCTGGAACTCACTCTGTAGACCAGGCTGGCCTCGATCTCAGAAATCTGCCTGCTTCTGCCTCCCAAGTGCTGGGATTAAAGGCATGCGCCACCACTGCCCGGCTCCACACAAGATTTTAAGACCAATGGGGTCTTGGTAGCTTAGGTGGCATATAACCATTAAAGTCCATACTAAGGAACTAGAGATATGACTCAGCAGTTCTGAGTGCTTGGTCCTTTTGCAAGACGAAGTACAGGTTACCTATAGCTGCAGCTCCAAGGGATCAAGTGCCCTCTTGTGGCTTCTGTGGTTTGCATACACGATTCTTGCCTTCCCACTCTAGGAGTTCTTTCTCCCATGGTTTCTCTAGTTCCTGTTACAGGCTGGCCAGGTAGATCCTGTCCCAGTGTGCTTTGCACTGCTGTAGAATTAAACATGATCTCATGCATGTCATGTATTGTACCTATCAGTTCCATTACTAGAGCCCCCAGTCTTACAAAGCCTGCTGCTTCTTAATACAATTGCTTGCATGTCACTGCTGATGCCTCTTTGAAGCAGCATATTCGCTCATTTTCCAAGGCTTCTCAAACCTCAATTCTGAGCTAAGTGTAGAAGTTTGTGCCTTTAATCCCAGGATTGAAGGAGGCAGAAGTAGGTGGATCTGAGTTCAAGGGTACATACTAAGAATGTCTAAAGAAAAACCTGACCTTTGATTCAGATTCTACTGGATGTGAATTGTAACACCAAAATTCCTATCCCAAATCATCTTGTGTTAAAATGTGTAAATTGAACCAGGTGGTGGCATACACCTTGAATTCAGATCTCTGTAAATTCAAAATCAACCTGATCTACACAGAGAAACCCTGTTTCAAATTACAAGTAAATCTTCCCATATAACCATGATACAAAAGCTGGTTATGGTGTCACACAGCTGTATTCTTTCTCATTCAGGATGCTGAGGCAGGTTGCTTGCCCGTCCCAGCCAGCATGGGGTTCAGTGGTAATGTCTAAATAAGTCTAAAGTAAAAAGAGGTCCCATAGTAGCAAAACCCCATTTAGTTGAGAAAGTATCATTTAGGAATGTGGTGCTAGAGTAGTGTGGTGGTGGGTTGTGTGTACATCACTTCAAAGAGTCATACACTGAGAAATGGCCAACATTAAGAGTTCTGTAAGAATTTGTGCAATCTGATGAACAAGGAATGGAAACTTAATAAAGCACTAAAAACTACATAGAATTGAGACAAAGATAAAACTCGCATAGCTGAGACAGTAAAGATTAGAGTGGTGATTAAATTTGGCACAGAAAATGTATGATTTATTAATATTGGAGATGACACAAACAGCAGACATTATATAGGTAGGCCTTAATCATTCTCAGTTGAGTACATGGCTCAGTAATGGTTTGCTAAGATGTTAAGTTACATGTCCATTCATGTCAGGGATTTTCTTCAGCTGGCTTCAAACCAATGTTCAGTTAAGTCCTGGATGGGAAGAGGCATACCAGAAATGCCACAATGGCAAGGGCACTGCCACTCACAGGTACAGATGTCAATGGGCAGAGGCGATAGCCTTCCTGGCAGCCATCTTCTCCTAATTTGCCCTATGTCCTTTACCAAAATTGCTTTGCAGGTAATTAATCAACTGGCATTCTACCCACCCCTCAACCCCACGTCACTCTGATGCCTTAAGATCCTGTTTTCTAGGTGAGTAGGACAAGAGTGTCAAGGTTTATGAAGATGAAGACTGGGCCCTAGGCTGAGAATAGATACAAAATACCAAACATATCTGTAACCATGGATGCAGGCAAGGCAGAGAAAACTGTTCCTCAACGTAAAACCTGGGAGGAGTATATGGGTCAGTGACAGAAGCACTCATGAATGTAACCCTGCAAACCTCAAATTTGTAACTCAGGTTCCACTAATATCATTTTACAAGAAACAGACCAAGTTGCTCAGCAGCAATACATTGTCATATCATTTCATATCCTTTTGTCATTACTAGCCCTCTATATCTCTTTAAATACCTACTTATAAAGTGCCCACACAGACCAAAATGGTGTGGCAATGTAGAGGAAATAGAGGACCTCATGTCAATGTACAGGCAAGAGCTGTACCACTCTTATCCCTTCAACATTCTTGGGTATTCTATTTCAAGAGCTGTACAATTCATCCCTAAAATTTGTGGGTATTCTAGTTAGAAGATGACAAAAGTCTGGGACTAGGGAGATACTTTCCTTAATAAAGTTATTTGCCATGTGGGTAGGAGGACCGACCTCAGTTCAGATTCCTTGGCTGTTTATGTATGAAAGTTAGGCGGATCCCCAGAGCCGCCTAACCAGTCTAACTGAACCTGCAGTCTCCAGGCCTGTCTGAAGAAATAACATTGTCCTCTGGCCTCCATATGCATAGGAACACAAGAATCAAATACTATACTAGATTTTTAAAAACTCACTTAATTGCTTTATTTAATGATTTTATCATTTGGGCAGCCTAAACTAGTAGCTTGCTTCTGATTTAATCAGTTTTAAGACCATCCATCCGTCTTTTTAAGTACTCCCCAAACTGGGACACTCAACAGGAATTACATGTCTTCATGAAAACCAGTTTAAACTCTTGTTTCTAGGCCAAAGGACCACATATCCCAGAGCAAGTAGGCAGCAAAGGCCTGTGGGTTCTAACATGATGGGCACAGTAGGAATGAGGTCTGCAGACACTGTATTTATGTGGGATTTCTTCTCCTCCAAAAGTCAGACTTAACAGTGCTTGTTGCTGTCTTGGCAAAAAACTGGCCAGATATGCATCTCTATGGTAGTGCATATGAACCCACCCAGGGTCTTGTGTTTAGGCCAGTATGGCACCACAGGGCTTCTATTAGACCCCAGCCCTGTATCTGTTTATTTTACCACTTCTAACATTCCAGCAGCTATTGTGAGCCACCTCTCCCTTTCATTTGTCTTCATTGATGTCACTGTCACTGCTGCTTTCTCCATCGCTACTGTTCAGTACAGTGAGGTTCCCCAGGGCTTCTCTGAAAGGAAGAGAAATGACATTACACTTCAGCTCCACAGGGTCAGGAGTGTTTGGCATCTCTGATCATACACAGTCATAGCAGTTTTGAAAGCAGAAAAAGGATCCCCCAAACTGCACTGAAGCATTGAGAACAAAGATAAAGTTCCAACAGCCAAATGTTTATGACAAATGCCTATGACAGAGGAAATAGCCATTTACATCCCCAAACCCTGGCTTTGTAAGGGAAGCAGGAGAGAATGCTATAAGCACCAGAAGAGGAGATAAGACACTTACCTTTGTTCTGGGTCAACTGTGAAATCCATCATTACTCTTTGGGCAAGGCTCTCACTAACAGGTAAGCTGAAGGCACTTGCCAGCTTTACAACCTCTATGGCCAGAGCAGTGCTACTGGATGCTTTGGCTGTGTCCATAAATTCCTCCAGCAATTCATTTCTGTGTAAAAGAAAGCAAAATTGAACAGTCCTCAACTCACATTTTTTTCTACTACAGACTTGTATATTCAAGTGTCTTCATGTATGTGATATGCCCATAGAAACCAGTGTCAGATGCCCTGGAATTGGAATTAGAAATGATTGTGAGCTCCATTCGGATGCTGAGAACTAAACTTTAGGGAAAAGCAAGCAAAGTGAGCCATTTCTCCAGTGCATACAACTTAATTTAACTTTTAGTCAAATCTTTATAGGCAAGATTCAGAATATATTAGTCAAATTCTCATTAACTTTGTGCAAAAGATAGAGGAATGTTATACCACCACCCTGTCACAAAATGATTCACTGAACAGAGGAAAGGCCTGTGTAGGACGCCCTGAATGGTAGGAGATAAACTGCTTGCCTGTCTAACCAAAGAGCCCTTAAATGCAGTGGCTTAGGCATGTGAAGAAATTCCAACTATCCACCCGAGAGTTAAAGCCCATGTGACTAATTCAATGAGGCTCAACTTACCTGGGAATCTTATTATGCTTTTTGAAGAGTGCCAACATTTTCCTGTGAAAGAAGAGAACAGAAGACTGCTGACAGAAAAACAAGTGGCAACTAGACAAAGCAAGCTATCCTTTTCTCAGGTTCAGAAGCTACGCGACCTCCAAGTCTATTATCCAAACTTTCTGAATTCCTGTGGGCTCCACTAGTTCCCAATCTGGGTGCACAAATTCAACAGATAAATCTGAGATGCAGCCATTTTAGAAGTGCTAGTTATATCCTCCAGGGAGGGAATCTACTGTACACTGCAGGTTAGAAGAGGGAGTGGCATGGGCTTGGCTCCCTCCCTCCCCCTTAAATCTTGTCTGCTCTAAATCCCCATTATGAAGAACAGGCTCAGATTAAGGCAACAGTCTCATGTATGTGAATGCCAACAGCCTGCCACATGCAAGACAGAGGCAAAACACATACATTCAGCTCCCATGACTCAGCTGAGGTCCGTACCCCTGCGCCAATCATCACAGCCTACTTCACAGTGTGTTCAACCCGCCCGACCATGAAAATGCCTTGTTTTTTGGGTTTTGATAACACAGGTGCTAACAGGTCCCGTTTAAGTGAGCTACAAGCGAAAGACAAGTTTCAAACATCTTTTTTGGAGAACTGGCAGGCATATTTGAACTGGCAATGAATGTCCAATACATTCATGTACCCCCCCCCCCACACACACACGGAGGGAGGGAGGGAGAATATGAATGAGATAATCTTGATGTCTCTAATTTTGGAAAAATGAATAAGCCTAAGGTTTCCACTAATAAAGACTAGATTTAGTATATTAGTGAAGTGCTGGTAAAACAGAAGCAGAATAGTGGCACAAACCAAAGATAGTCTTGTTTCTGGAAATACCAGTTGCCAGAAGTCTAAGGGTCCTCAGGCCACACTTTAAGTTAGGGATGGGGATGAGGATGGGGAACACTTGCAAGAGACTTATATTCAATTTTCAGAGCATTTCCAAAGGTGTGCTTTCTCTCACCACTCAGAACCACAGGGGCAGAAGAATGAGGCTAAGTTTCTTGCCCAATAAGACACAGAAAGCCAAAAGGTATGGAATAAAGAGAACTCTCATCTCACCTGAGTACCTTCTTCTCTAGTACATCACACATACTGGCCTTAGAAAATTTCTTGTCTAACTGTATTTACAAGTGTCCACAAAAAAGGCTTGTAGAGAATATCCACCTATCAACCCAAGTAAATGTTTCAGCTCTTAAGAATTACTGTTAAAATTTAGACTTGGAAATGTATACTCACCAGGCTTCCTGGGTTCTGCCACCTCTTAAAAAAAGGACAGCTATATATTGTAAAGGGTTGTCTGGCCAATCAAGAGCAGTCTGCCGGGCATCCTGGTTTTCATATGTGGATTTGATATCAGCAGCACAGTCAGCAAATGCAACCTGAAGCTGAGAGGCTCTGAGTCAGCAGAACTGTTTAGTTGGTCTGACAAGAATTTAAAATCAAGAACTATCACATGCACAACAAACAAGAAATACAGTAAAAAGAAGCCATGACCTGTCCTGGGATAGTACAATTAACTACGTTTGAAATCTACCATGAATTTCCTTTAAAAGGTTTTGTTTTAATTTATTGATTGACTGTGTATACACATGCACACATAAGTGTGCTAGAGCCCATGTACAGAGGTCAGAGGACAACTTGTGGGGGAATTGGTTCTCTCCTTCCAGGTAGGACCCAGGAAAAGAGCTTAGGTCATCAGACTTGGCAGAAAGCACCTTTATCCACTGACACATCTCTGACATATCTTTCCAGGTAGCAATAATAATAAATAATAACAACAATAATAATTCTAGTAAATAAAAACAATTTTATTTTATATGTATGGGTATTTTTCCTGATGTGTATGTGTGCCTGATGCCTGCAGAGGCCAGTTTCCCTGGAAGTGGAGGCATAGACATGGGTGCTGGGAAACTAACCAGAGTACTTTGGAAGAACAAGAAGCTGCCATTAACCACTGAGCCACCTCTCCAGCTTGTATTTTTCTTATTTTTAATTATGTGCCTGTGGGAGAGTAAATGCATTTGAGTGCAGATGTCTGTGAGTGCCTGATAGGAGTACTGGGAACTGACAGCAAGTGCTTTTCCTAGATGTCATCTCTTTAGCTCATGGAATAATTACTATAAAAATAACCTGGCACTCATTGTCACAACCCTTTTCCTGGTGCCCACTTCAGACTAGAGGAATACCACTAAGATTGAAATTCTGCTAACGGTAGTATGTGTTTAACCTGAACCTACATTTATATAGCGGGGCATGCCACAAGGACTTTAAGAGGATTGAAGCATTAGCAAATACATAGGTCAGTACACATCTAATGATGACGGTGAACTCGAGCTTGAAGCCAGCCTTACCTCTGGTGAGTGTTTATCCCTTGCCATGAGCATCAAGACTTCTTTTCTTAGGGCATCTTGGAAAGTATGGCCATATTCTTTACAATCTTAAAGCAAAAGAAAATAACAGTGATAAGTATTTGGTGAACTTTTATCCATTACTGACTTTTATCTTCTGGTGGGATTAGAATTAGATTTATTAGAATTAAAGAAAACCTTAATTCCACCACTCTGGGAGGCAGAGGCTGGTTTACAAAATGAGTACCAGAACAAACAGAGCTACACAGTGAGACCTTTGCCAAATGCCAATCAGAACTGTTTGTAGTCAATGTATAAAACAGCCTATGTACAATACTTGGGTAAGACACAGAGCTAGACTTTGGCACTCATTTCTCAGGCACTGATATCAGAAAGATCTTATTTTCCACATGTGTACTCATCCAATATACTATGAGCAACGGCCTTGAAGTCTGACCTTGACAAATGCGTTAACTTCTGTTAAGAATGGAGGCTTTCAGTCTTAACAATGTAAATATGTTAATCATCAGTCACTGAAGTAAGACAGCACTGGCACAAAACTGTCACAAACCTTTCCAAATCTGAGGAACCATTTCTAGCCTATTGGCCACATCCAATGCTTGAAGAAGACCTATGAATATTTGGAAGTTGGGAAGGAACACCTGTGGGGAGAAATACAAACATGATTTTATAGCATCTATCAGAAAAGACATTTTCTCACATATTCATCTACAAAGAGAAAAGATGAGTAATAAAGTCTCTTACTGAAGGTATTAGGTCCTTATACCACTTCAAGGTGACATCAATTTGTTCCAGTGAACAAATCAAACTGAAAAACTTCGAACTGTGGAGAGAAAAAGTGTGTTTAGATTAAAGTCTATGTGTATCAATAAGGTATGATTAATGATTAGTGAAATTTCAGTAGAATTATTAATGTATTAAATCATAAATTTTTAAAGTTTACAACTTTAGGTCATTGAGATGGGTAGAGGTACTTTACCACATAAGCCTGGCAACCTGAGTATCATCCCTGGAACACATGCAATAAGAGCAGGAAAGAAGTTCTCCTCTGGCACCCTCCCCCCATTGCTGTCGCATGTGCACACAATAATAAAAAAATATATACTTTCAAGTCAGACTGGTCAATGATTAACCAAGGAAGTCATAATATTACTGCTACTTTTAATTTTTTGTTTGTGTATATGTACACGTGTGCCTGCCTAAATAGGTTTATGTAGGAGAGGGGGTTGTGTCGCAGATGTCCTCCTCAACTGCCTCTCCATCATCACTGAACCTGGAGTTCCATTGTTGTGTCCACCCTGAATGATCACTGAGCCCCTGGGATCTATGTTAAAGACCAGCTCCAACAATGTGTTCAGAGGTCCAAGGAGGGGATGGGAGTTGGCGATGATGTAAAGCAAGCATATGCTTATACACCTGGGAGATGAAACAAGCTCCAGCAACTTTACACATACATAAATATATACACACATACACAATGGGTGGATGGAGTCAGGCTCCAACCACTTTACATATATACACAAAACATAGAGACACACACACACATTTTGTGGATGGAGCAAGCTTCTACAAGCAGGCTTGAATAAACTTCATATATATACATACACATATACATATTTGAATAGAGCAAACTCCAATGAGCTGACTCCAACTTTATTTTCTCTTAAGCCTTTTTATACCACCTAAGACAAAGTTCTTTAAGAAAAACCTAAGAGTCACAAGTTACTTCGTCTCTAAAAACAATCACCACAAAAACATATTCCTCAAAAACAGATTTAAAATCATTACACAAAAGGAATAATATGTAATAGGATTATATAATCCTATTACATATTATTATTCTTTTGAAATTCATACTTAACTAAACATTCCCATTTTTCTATCCACAAGTTCACCATAACCCCAAAGCAATAACTCTTTTGTTACTAATTAACAAAGCTTAAGCAATCCAGTCTATAGAAGCAAGTTAGCTGATGACAATTTGTACTTAGCAAGAAAGATCATCTACCTTATGTCTTGTTCAGCTAAACTAGCTAATCATCTATTCTCTATCCTTATATTTATAATAGAATTATTTACTCTTTATCCATAACCCTGTTTTTTCATAGTGCACACTGAAACCTATGGCCACATCCCTAAATCACAGGATTCTAGAACTTAGACCCAACCTAGAATGTTTTGTTTGATAATTAACTTGTCCCAAGCCTGTTTTTCTTTTCCAAGTGCTTGTAATGCATGAAAAGTCACTGTATTCCTTTTCTAGCCTATGCAGCCCTCATTATTTTACAAAGGAGGGCACACATTTCACTCTTAGTTCTAACTTTATTACACCTTTCTGGCAAAACAATCTCCTTAAATTTTCTATCAATTACTCTAACTTCCTAAAACTATTTAAATCAAATCAGGTGGGCTGTCTCTAGGAAGCTCACTTGCCCACTGTAGGTCCCTCTGCATGCCATCCGCCATTAAGGTTTTCTCCATTCACCCAATGTATGTATGTATGTATGTATGTATGTATGTATGTATGTATGTATGTATGTATGTATGTATGTGTTGGAGCTTGCTTTACCCACCAGGTATGTGTGTGTGTGTGTGTATTTATGTGTTAGTTGTTGTTGGAGCTTGCTTTAACCACCAAGTGTGTGAGCATGTGCCTGTTTTACATTGTTGCCAGCCCCACATCCTGTCCTTGGATCGCTGAACATTGTCAGAGCTAGTCTTCAACAGATCTGCCTATTTCTACTTCCTGCTTCATCATGGGAAGATACATGTCACCAGTGGGGGCTGGGGACCCAAACCTCTTAAGAACTTATGCTCCCACTTTACCATGGAGCCATCTCCTCAGCCCCACTGCCTTTATCTCCAGGTGTTTAATTACAAATACTATGAAATAATGGGTACATCACCTAAAACTAGAGTTGAGATATACAGTCTTTAAGATCCTCCCACTGCAGAATCTAGCAATTAAACTGAATGGAGGGAACTAGAAAGATGGCTCAAGAGCTAAGAGCCCTTGGTCCAAAATCATGAGGACTAGAGTTTGGATCCTGGCAACTATGTTAACAAACCAGGCATTTCTAGCAAGTGCTTAGAGGCAACTCCAAAGCAGGGCAGAGATAGGAGGCTTGCTGGGCTCCAGATTAGCTGAGACACAAGCCCCCAGAGTTCATGAATAGATCCTGCCTTAGAGGAACAGGTAGAGAATTATGGAGAGTTCCTGGTACCCTCTTCTGGCTTTCACATGCATGCACAGGTGGGTGAATACACACACACAGACAAGCACACACATAATAAATCTTTTAAAATATTAAGTAACATACTTACTAATAGATTTTACGTTGAATATCATGTCCGATCAGTTTCCGGTTGTCCCCCGTGTTTAAAAGACCATGTACTTGGTAAGCAAGCTCTAAATCTCTGAGAGAAGAACACTGAAAATTTGCAAATAGTATTATCTATCAGTAGTAGACAGTCTTGTAAGCCAATGCCTCAATAGAGTAAAAAAAAAGTATGTTATTTCTTTGTATAAATACTTAACACTAGATCCAACTTTCTAATAGACAGCAAAAAATTAAGAAGGAATTGGTGCATAAAGTACAGCCTAGGTTTATGAAATTTAAGACAAAAGTTTATATTAGCAATTCTACCACTGTACTATCAAAATCACCATGAGACAGCTTCAAGAACCAGCCTTGAAATGCCTCCGTCCAACCCTCCTATAAATAATACACTACCAAAGGGGCTGCTTCTGAGTGGCTATATGAACTCTCAGAGGAAAAGCCCAGAGCACAGACACTAGGCTGCCACACAATTATCCTCCACAAACAGTATGCTCTCTACTCATCCTGAAAACATGAAATTTCTCCTGTGATGATGATAAAATGAAAACAAACAACAATAATCTATTTCCATCACTTTACAAAGATAATGGGAAAAAAAAATTCTGAAAACTTAATCAAAACAGACATTAAAAAGCAACACTATGATAGCGATAGGATCTAGATTGTAGAGAAAAAAAAAAAAAAGAGTTGAAGCAAGACATGAACAGAGGAGACACACAGAAGCCCACAGTTACAGGCAAAACAAGGGAATAGAGAGGAACCTTTGGAGCAGGGACAAAGTAATAAAGTGGCACTTACCACAATCATGGCTAACTGAAAAAATTTATCTGAAAACCAAAGTTCACAAGAGGTTTGGTTGGTGTGGATGTAACATTTTCATATCAATAATACTACTAACATCCTTGGCTTTTTCAGACTGTTTAATCCAAACAGCTAAATAAACATTGCTCAACATAAAGCCTCTAATGGTATTCAAGCAAACCACCCCTCATTAGCTGGGGGTAAGTACAAACAACTTCTGTACCTACCATCATCAAGGTCCTGTGGAGAAAATGTTCTTCCCTCTAATTCATTCATGATGTCATAGATGATGAGGGATGGCATTTTTATAGAGCTACCTGCAAAACAGCAAGGTGAATGGCTTTTTATCAGGAGTCCACTTCTATAAGCACTACCAACTTCACAGCCCGAAGTTACAAATAACCTCCTTATCTGTTGCCTCCATCTTTATAGCATAAGACCTGGCAGAAAGCTGGGCAGGGCCAAAATCTTGTTATAGGTCAAAGCCCCATCCATCCTTGGGTTCCATTTAGACTTTACCCTTACTATATCTCATAAGCAGCTCAAATTTCTTGGAATGGGGCAAATACCAATACCCCCTATCCCAAACCAACACTTAACTAAATTATTTAATGGTACCTGTGTTCTTTTAAACCAAGTCAGATAAGGAAGCCAAGAGCAAACCCAACTGCAAATTTCATGGATGGTGTGGTTCTTAGAAGTCACACAGCCATATATACTTATTAATCCCAACACTAAGGTAGGAAGATCATGAATCAGATGTTCACCTCTGTTACATAGCAAGTTCAAGACACTATGCTACACAGCAAAATAACTGGGTTTTAAAAAAGAGAACTGAATACTAATAGGGCAATTATTTGGTTGCTACTTTAAAACTGTAATTTTGCTGTTGTTATGAATGGTAACGTAAGTATCTGACATGCAGGATAGCTGATGTATGACTCTCAGGCTGAGACCCACTGATGCATGGGAATGTGTACCGTATGTGAATAGTGGTCCCCAAGTCCAGGAGAGTCTACCAGACTTACCCCAGAACCCGGTGGGTAAGCCTGTGGAGCAGAACATGTGTCCTCTAGAAGGTCAGCAAGTTCTCCTAACCATTTAAACCAGAGCAGTGCTTTCACTGGTTTAAATCAGTGTTTTCAATCTGTGGGTCGAAACCCCTTATCAAATGACTCTTTCACAGGGGATATGTATCAGATATTTACATAGCAATTCGTAACAGTATCAAAGTTAGTTATGAAGTAGCAACAAAAGTAGTGTTATGTTGGGGGTCACCACAACATGAGGAACTGTATTATAGGGTTGCAGCATTAGGAAGGTTAAGAACCATTGACTTAAACCATCTCTTGGCCCTCAAAGTATTAATATATATAAATATTAATGTATACATTAATCTATGTACAAAAATCATTAAAAAATGAGTCACAGACTATAATGTAAGACCTAGCACTCTAAAATTGCTAGAGAGAAACCACCAAAGGAACGAAACTTCAAAACAATGGCACAGGCAAGGACTCTCTAAAAAGGACATCAGTAGCACAGTATATGTAGCAAATAATTATTACTCCCAACACTAAGGTAGGAATACCATGGATCAGAGGTTTACCCATGAGACTACTCCCAACACTAAGGTAGGAATACCATGGATCAGAGCTTTACCCATGAGACTACTCCCAACACTAAGGTAGGAATACCATGGATCAGAGCTTTACCTGTGAGCTGCTTCTGTGATTCCCTAGTCACTTCCTCCCATCTCACAGTGGAACACCAGGATTAGATGCCCACTACCCAGTCTGGCTGGCTTTACACTGGTTCTGGAATCCAACTTCAGTTCTCAAGGTTTGCAAGACAAGCACTTAGCCCATTAGACTATCAGCCTTTTTGAAACAGGGTCTGTCTTGGTGCTTTGATAAAATGCAATGACAAGAGCAACCGAAGGAAAAAAGGGCTAGGTTGGATTGCCCCGAGTTGAAGGATCTACCTGTTTCTGCTAGGACTGTAAGTGTGTGCTACTATACTCTGTGTTCTGGGGATCAAAGTCTATAGTTTTTAGATTGTGTAACAAGCGTTTTAAAGACTGACCTACTTTCCTAGTTCCCCTCTATCCCTTTTTCTGAGACTCATATAGCATTCGCTGGACTGGAAAACATCTGACATGCTTGCTCTGACTTCTCAAATTCTGTGATTCTAGACAAGTCCCACCAGGTATGAAATACACAATAAAGATCTATTTAAGAGCAACAGTTAAGTTTCATTTGTAGGATAACAGAATTGGAGATAATCATATTAAGTACAGTTACGTTACACTCACACAAATATTACATTTCTCTTTCAAATAATATCCAGATTACGCAGATGCTTATGTTCATATATGAGATGTGAGAGGAGGAGAGGAATCACTGAGGAAGATGACTGACAGGACTGTAGATGGAGATTAAGAAAGGGCACATCACGGGGCACAGAGATGGCTCAGTGTTATAGAAGGACAGCTGCTGCCAAGCCTGATGATGGAATTTGACTCTTAGATCCCACAAAGGAAAAAATATGACTGGAAAGGCTTAATGTCAAGATTAAAAAAATATATATTCTATTTTTCTTTTTTTTTTTTCTTTTTTTCTTTTTCTGGTTTTTCAAGACAGGGTTTCTCTGTGTAGCCCTGGCTGTCCTGGAACTCACTCTGTAGACCAGGCTGGCCTCGAACTCAGAAATCCACCTGCCTCTGCCTCCCAAGTGCTGGGATTAAAGGCGTGCGCCACCACTGCCCGGCAGGTAAAAAAAAAAATATTCTTAAACTACCTAATTACTTATGGCTACTAAGCTATTATACTGAACAGCACAGTTCTAAAGACCGTAAGAAACCCTTAACTACAACCCATCTGTCTATTTTTTTTGGAGTGCAAGAATGTACACTTTATAGCCCTCTCCAAGTTTGTATTTTATATTGCAATCAAGGGTACTGCCAGTCATGCCTGTCCCCACCCTTGATTCTGCTTCTGCCTCTTAAGTGCTGGTGCAGGATTACAGGCATGCAACCATGCAGGGTTGAAATCTATTTTTAAATTATTTATTTATTTATATTTCACGTGTATGGGTTTTTGTCTGCATGTATGCTTATGCATGTCTGGGGCTCCTAGAGGCCAGAAGCAGCTTTGGATCCCCCATGACTGGAGTTATAGATGATTTTAAGCCATCATGTGGGTGCTGGGAATTGAACCTGTGTCCTCAATCCCTGAGCCATCTTTCCAGCCTCTGAACTCTCTCTCTCTTTTTTTTTCTTCCTGAAAACATAGTTTATGTAGCCTTGGCTGTCCTTGAACTCAAGAGATCAGCCTGCCTCCCCATCCTGACTGTTGGGATTAAATAAAGTTATTCATCACTATGCCCAGCAAATTCTGTTTTTAATTCATATACACAGCAGATACTTTAACAATTATAACAACTCAACAGAGATGGTCAATTTACATACAAATCAAGATAATGTAAGGTTATACATACCTCTTGGATAAAAGATGTTAATAATATGACGGTATGTTGCAAGTGAGGGTTCTCAAATAACCAGGTAGATAAAGGGAAGAGAGGAAAAAAAAAAAAAACCAGTAAAAACTCAGCTATCCAAAATAAAGCTGAAACACAATGTCACAATGTTACTATTTCTATTCCTCTGAAGATAGTTTTAGCTCATCTCATAAAAAGATGAGATCGCCCTAAAGAAAGCAGCACCTTGTCATATTCATACAAGTGTGACCAATCACTGAGAATAGCAAAGCACCATGAAGTCAATCAATATCCACCTAATCTTCAATTAAGTAATTAGTGAAATATTTACAGTATGTTGGCACATAATTTGGGTTAGAGTATCTAATTATGCTAGAAGGAATTTAAAGCTGGCTAACAAAGCAATCGATTTATATCAAAATCAAGAGCGCTACAGAAAAAAAAAGTCTCTCAAATGTTAAAGTAACATTGTACTTCCTGTAAAGAACATAAAAGGCACTCCATCACAGCAGACAGTTTTCACTTGGTATCCATGGGGACGTAAACCAAGAACCCCACTGATGCCTGGGTATTCATATGCTCAAGTGCTCATATGAAATGGTGACATACTTACATATAACCCACACATACCCTACTATATGCTTCAAAGCATTTCTAGACCACCTGTAACATCTGATATGCTATAGAGGCTAGGCAAATACTTCTTGTATTATTTAGGGATTAATGACAAAAAAATGTTTACATTTTTTCCTGACATTTTTATCCGGGGTTGAATGCTGAGACAGATACAGCAGATACAAAGGGCCAACTGCACGTGAAGTTACGTATGCAGTAAGAAAATTCTAACAGAATGAGGGTAAGAATGAAGACACTTCCTGCTTTTGTGGGTGGCTGAGCCCAGCGGCCACCTCAGCACCTCGTCTTCAGTGTGGATTCCTTACCTATTCCAATATGTTTCATTTCACGTAATATCTGCATGGCCGGTAACTTTGCAAGTGAGTGAAATTTCGGGAGATACTTCAAAATTGTATTAAAAGTCTGCAGGTTTGGTTTCACCTTCTGGGCAACCATATGTTTCAGTAGATCCTGGGTAAATCCAAAACAGGAAACATCTTTTACTCCAGTGTAATTTGCGAAAACTGTTGAGAGAACTTAACTCTGTGGCTACCTGTGAAACCCATTAACACCATACACCCAATTAAAAACCATATACTTTAAGAAACAAACAGCCTGGTTTGGTGGCCCAAATCTTTACTCCAGCACCTGAGAGTCAGAAACAAAAGATCTCTGTGGGTTCAAAGGAAGCCTGGCTTACATAGCAAGTCACAGGCCAGTTAAGGGCTACACAGTGAAGTCTTTTCTTTTTTCTTTTTTTAAATTTTTATTGGATGTTTTATTTACATTTCCTATGTTGTCCCCTTACCCCATCCCCCACCCACCCAGGAACCCCCAATCCCCTCACCCCTCCTCCTTCTCTGTGGATGTAACCTCTATCTACCTCCCCCACTCCCACCTCCCCACCCTCAAAATTCCCACCCCCTGGGGCGTCCAGCCTTCATGAGGTCAAGGTTCTCTTCTTCCACCTATGCCCAGCAGGGCCCTCCACTCTTACATATTCAACTGAAGCCCTGAATCCCTCCCTAAGTGCTCCCAGGCTGGTGGTTTAGCCCCTGGGAGCTGTGGTTGGTTGGTATTGTTGTTCTCCTCATGGTGCCGCAAATCCTTTCAGCTCTCCTTCAGTCTTCACTCTAACTCCTCTATTGAGAACCCCATGATCAGTTCAATGGCTGGCTGTGAGCATCTGCCTCTGAGTATGTCAGACTCTTGAAGACCTCTGAGGAGATATCCTTATCAGGCTCTTATCAGCATGCACTTCCTGACTTCCACATCAGCATCTACCTTTGGTGATTGCACATGGGATAGATACTCAGGTGGAGTGGTCTTGAGACGGCCCCTCCTTCAGTTTCTGTCCCTCACTTTGTCTCCATATTTGCTCCCTTGAGTATTCTGTTGTTCCTTCTAAGAAGGACCGAATCACCCCCACTTGGTCTTCCTTCTTTATGGGCTTCATGTGGCCTGTGAGTTGCATCTTGGGCATTTCAAGGTTCTGGGCTAATATCCAATAATCAGTGAGTGAATACCATTTGTGTTCTTTTGTGATTGGCTTACCTCACTCAGGATAATTTCTAGTTCCATCCATTTACCTAGGAACCTCTCAAATTCATTGTTTTTTTTTTCTATTTTTTATGAATTTTAAATGCAAATTTCTTCTTTTTTATTTATTTATTTTTTATATTTATTTTTATTTTATGTATGTGAGTACACTGTCACTCTCTTCAGACACATCAGAAGAGGACATTGGATCCCATTACAGATGGTTGTTAGCCACCATGTGGTTGCTGGGAATTGAACTCAGGACCTCTGGAAGAACAGTCAGTGCTCTTAACCGCTGAGCCATCTCTCCAGCCCCGAATTCATTGTTTTTAATAGCTGAGTAATACTCCATTGTGTAAATATACCATTTTTTGAATCCATTCCTCAGTTGAAGGACATCTGGGTTCTTTCCATCTCCTGGCTATTATAAACAAGGCTGCTATGAACATAGTTGAGCATATGTCCTTGTTATATGTTCGAGCATCTTCTGGGTATATGCCTAGGAGTGGTATAGCTGGATCCTCAGGTAATGCTATGTCCAATTTTCTGAGGAACCGCCAGACTGATTTCCAAAGTGGTTGCACCATCTTGCAGTCCCACCAACAATGGAGGAGTGTTCCTCTTTCTCCACACCCTCGCCAGCATCTACTATCACCTGAGTTTTTAATCTTAGCCATTCTGACTGGTGTGAGATGGAATCTAAGGGTTGTTTTGATTTGCATTTCCCTGACGACTAAGGATGCTGAACATTTCTTTAGGTGCTTCTTGGCCATTCGAGTTTCTTCCGTTGAAAATTCTTTGTTAAGCTCTATACCCCATTTTTTAATAGGGTAATTTGGTTGTCTGGAGTCTAATTTCTTGAGTTCTTTGTATATATTGGATATTAGCCCTCTATCAGATGAAGGATTGGTAAAGATCTTTTCCCAATTTGTTGGTTGTCGTTTTGTCCTATTGACAGTGTCCTTTGCCTTACAGAAACTTTGCAATTTCATGAAGTCCCATTTGTCAATTCTTGATCTTAGAGCATATGCCATTGGAGTTCTGTTCAGGAACTTTTCCCCTGTGCCCAAGTATTCGAGGCTCTTCCCCACCTTCTCTTCTATTAGTTTCAGTGTATCTGGTTTTATGTGGAGGTCCTTTATCCACTTAGACTTGAGCTTTGTACAAGGAGGTAAGAATGGATCGATTTACATTCTTCTACATGTTGTCCTCCAGTTGAACCAGCACCATTTGTTGAAAATGCTGTCCTTTTTCCACTGGACAGTTTTAGCTCCTTTGTCAAAGATCAAGTGACCATAGGAGTGTGGGTTCATTTCTGGGTCTTCAATTCTATTCCATTGATCTTCCTGCCTGTCTCTGTACCAATACCAGGTAGTTTTTATCACTATTGCTCTGTAGTACAGCTTGAGGTCAGGGATGGTGATTCCTCCAGACGTTCTTTTATTGTTGAGAATAGTTTTCGCTATCCTGGGTTTTTTGTTATTCCATATGAATTTGAGAATTTCCTTTTCTAACTCTGTGAAGAATTGAGGTGGGATTTTAATGGGGATTGCATTGAATCTGTAGATTGCTTTTGGCAAGATGGCCATTTTTATTATATTAATCCTGCCAATCCATGAGCATGGGAGATCTTTCCATCTTCTGAGATCTTCTTCAATTTCTTTCTTCAGAGACTTGAAGTTCTTGTCATACAGGTCTTTCACTTGCTTGGTTAGATTCACACCAAGGTATTTTATATTATTTGCAACTATTGTGAAGGGTGTCATTTCCCTAATTTCTTTTTCAGTCTGTTTATCTTTCATGAAGAGGAAGGCTACTGATTTGCTTGAGTTAATTTTATATCCAGCCACTTTGCTAAAGTTGTTTATCAGGTTTAGGAGTTCTCTGGTGGAAGTTTGGGGGTCACTTAAGTATGCTATCATATCATCTGCAAATAGCGATATTTTGACTTCTTCCTTTCCTATTTGTATCCCTTTGACTTCTTTTTGTTGTCTAATTGCTCTGGCTAGGACTTCCAGTACTATATTGAATAGGTAGGGGGAGAGTGGGCAGCCTTGTCTAGTCCCTGATCTTAGTGGGATTGCTTCGTGAAGTCTTTTCTTAAAAAAAAAAAAAACAGAAAAACCAAAAACAGTGACTAAGTACTGCCTGTGCAGGGCCAGCAATCCCACCCTCTAGAAAAGCCTAACACTATCATGGGATCAAGGAGCCTCTCTCTCTCCAACCTATCATCCACCCTAGAGAATTACGGTGTCTATCTGAAATGTTCTACTAAATTCAGACAAAACAAACATATAAAATAACCTAAGAACAGATCACTATGATATAAAAATGTTCTACTTTTAAGTTTGGCCCCAAATCCTTTCTTTCTTTTTTTTTTTTTTTTTTTTTTTTTTTTAAGGTTTTTCGAGACAGGGTTTCTCTGTGTAGCCCTGGCTGTCCTGGAACTCACTCTGTAGACCAGGCTGGCCTCGAACTCAGAAATCCGCCTGCCTCTGCCTCCCAAGTGCTGGGATTAAAGGCGTGCGCCACCACAGCCCGGCCCCAAATCCTTTCTGTTGGTTTCAATTTGTCATCTCTGGCTAGAATTATAACAGGTATGTTACGTCAGTAACCTACAACAAAAACAATCACAGTGAGCTGTTGCAGCTCTACCTGAATTCTTGCTCTATGGTGATTGCTGAATTGGTGCTCTCTTTTCTCCGAGTAGACAGCACTGAGCAGGTGTTCCATGAGAGCAATGGCGGCCACAGAAATGCTAAGTTAATCATTACTAAAAGGTAGCTACAAGACAAAGAAGGTGGTTGCTTACCAGTATATCATTCCATTTCTCCTCAAATTTCTCACTGAGTATGAATGTTTTTGCTTCAATCAATGCATTAAAGGTGTATACATCAGCTGTAAAGGAAAAGTACTTTAACAAAACTTGAGGTTAAAAATTCACCCCATAAAAGCTGAAAGTGAGAAAATGGTGAGTCTTGGTGTCTTAGCTAATTTCAGTAAGGCCTTAGAACTAGATCTCCACTCCCACTTTAATCATGAGCACAAGACAAACAAACATGGCATCCACTATGCAACAACTGTGGCAAAATCCAAAGATCTCATGAATTTTGGTAAGATCAGCAGTTCTCAACCTGTGTGGGTCATGACCCTTTGAGGGGGTCACAGATCAAATATTACATTACAATTCAAAACGGTAGCAAGATTGTAGATATGTGTTGGAGGTCACCACAACACGAGGAACTGTATTAAAGGGTTGTGGTATCAGGAAGGTTGAGAACCACTGTGTTAGAAGAAGACACAGGTGTGACGGGGTCCTTAAACTCACCACTAAGTCTGTTATTTAATAACTCGGTGTACAAGTTCAACGCCTGTGCATAAGCTCGGTGCTGGAGAGGAAAAAGTGAACATCGTCAAAGTCTTCCCAAGTGGGAATGTGAGCACACAACACAGAAGACTCCTATTCTCGGGAAGCTTGTATCCTGTTTCTTCCAGGAGACACTGGCAATGCCTAGAGACATTTCCAGTTGTCACAACTGAGGATGAGGCAGAAACAAATTACTCACATCTCATGGGTAGAAATGGGGAAGACAACACACTTGCACATCTTCCAACACACAGGAAAGCTTCCAATAAGCCCTCTGCTCTAAAATGTTAGTATAAGTGGGGGAGCTCGGCTCAGTCCTTTAAGACAGTTTGGTGCTCAATCAAAAAGACTGGAGTTCTCATTCCCATACCCATGTTAGGAGGTTCACAAATGCCTGTAGGAACTCTGGCTCTAAAAAAATCCATCACCCACTCACCCACCCACACCCTTACATGAACTTAGACATAGACAAATACATGAATACATACATAAATTTAAAAAGCTTACAAAGCTTTCATCAAGTTGTTCATCCCTAATCCAAAACCTGAAATGCTGCTAAATTCAAAAATTTTTGAGGACTGATATAAAGACATAATTAGGATCTCACTTAACAGGTTGTGGACAGCATAGGCTAACGAAGATATTACATGAAATGATCACTCTAAATACTGTAGTGTATACCCAGGATCCCAATTACTCTGGGAAGACTTGTTGAGTCTGAGGGCAGTACAGATCTTTTCAGAGAGCTTGTCTGAAAAGAAAAAAAGAATTTTTTTTTTTTTTGCCAGGTATTGTGGAGCACCTGTAATGAGGCAGGCAGATTTGCATGAGCTTAAGCCTTCTCTGCCAGTCCAGCCAGTTAAGGTTATACAGAGACCCTATCTCAAAAAGTATAACCTTTTCATGTTATGCTTATTGAAAAATATATGAGCCGGGCAGTGGTGGTGCACGACTTTAATCCCAGCACTTGGGAGGCAGAGCCAGGCGGATTTCTGAGTTCGAGGCCAGCCTGGTCTACAGAGTGAGTTCCAGGACAGCCCGGGCTATAAAGAGAAACCCTATCTCGAAAAACCAAAGAAAAAGAAAAAAAAAAAGAAAGAAAAGAAAAATATATGAAGCAAAGGGATATCTTGCTTAAAACTGACCCTAAAATATCACATTATGCATATATTCATGATCCCAGTCATTTTATAACCTTGTTAGTATGGAGTGGAAAAGAACAAATTCAATGGATCTTTACGATAAACAAAGAAAGGTACCTTCACCATCCCACGGATCATTGTACAGTAGGAGTGCGCATTCTTCTCTGGCATTAGAGCAAAGATTCTCTCAGCATTGTTTTGTGCTCTAGAAACATCAGAGTAAACATCATCTGGAGGTACAGGTAAAACTAGTAATTGGTACCATAGGCAATGTACATAACTATTCTATGACTCAGAGTATCACAGGTTATCACTTCAAAACTGCTTAAAGATCTTAAGTTGTCTAGACATTCCCAGCTCTCAGGCCATGACCAAGAATGACAAAGTGGTTATTAACATCTAAGAAATACCCAGGTCAAATACAAAGAACAAGATACACAGCAGAGGCTGTTTCTCTGGCTCACTTCTTACACCCTAAAACAAAATTCCCCAAGGTAACCCTGCTCCTGAGTCTTGCCATATTCTAGCACGAGCAGTTTTGCCTCTTTTACTACAGGGTAAGAAAATGGTACCTACCTTGTATAAAGGTTCATGTATACTGAACACCCTAGGATATGAGCTAAGATTTTACTACAAAGTCTATGTGTGTGCATCTGTTTGAGTGTGTGCAGTGTGTGCCAGTGTCCATAGAGGTCACATTTCCCAGAGCTGGAATTACATAGAAGATGCTGGGAACAGAACTTGGAACCTCTGTGAGAATAGGAAATTCTCTTAACTACTGAGCCACCTATCTAAACCAGAATTTCTAGAATTAATGGTAGCCTTCCTTCTCTATATACCCAACCAAATCTTTCAGAATTAGTTAGAGAACTACATCTCAAGGTAGCACTACTAATTAAACTATACACGGATGAAAAACAACAAAAAGTACAACCAGGTCAAACCCTAAATGGATTTTTCTATGCTGGCAGGAAATAACAATCTTGTAATAATAGTCTAGGCCACAAGTGATGCTGCACACAACTTTTAGCAGGCCCTGGGAGCAGAGGCAGGAATGGTCCACATTTGAGGCTGGCCTGGGCTATATAAGGGGAATCTTAAAGCAGTAACCAAGAACCCAGGTATAGTGGCACACACTTTTAAACCCAGCACTCAAGAGGCACAAGGATCTCTGTGAGTTTGATGCTAGCCTCTTCTACATAGTAAGCTCCAGGACAACCAAGACTACAGGGAGTTTGTCTCATGAAACAAAACAAAAAAGACAAAAGGTATAAAATATAAATATACAGACTGTGGAATACATCTGTAAAATGGGAAAAACAGTTTCCATTTTAGAACATTTTATGGGATTGCAACTCCAGAGGATGATATAGCATATTTTTCATGTACTATAAAATTTCCATAAGGTTTTCATGCTTAACATACTTCCAAGGACCAGACTCCATCTCGGATGTTTGATTATTTTCCTCTGTAGCCTCTTCCTAGAACAGATGAAATAAAAGGTAAGACAATGCTTTCTTGAAAGCTACTTAAAAAAAAAAATCAAAAAAGGAAATTCAAAAAACTAAAAGAAAATAAGAGATCATCAAAAGGCAAAGAAAAAACCTCAAAATGTTCACACCCACAGTGAATTCCTTTAGTATGAAAATTAGTGCACACTGAGGAAAGCAAAGTCGTATTTGTCACCTTTGTTTTATCTCCAGATGATCATGCATTTAAAATATGACCAGGATGGCCTCAAACTCAGAGATCTGCCTTTTGCCTCTGTGCTGGGATTAAAGGTACAAGCCAGTATACACAGTTATGAGTAGCCAGGCCTAATAATGGAATCTACAAGCCAGCTACTTAGGAGGTCAAGGAGTTTGAATTTAAGGCTAGTCCAAGCAAGATCTTTTTTCAAAAACTAAACCAAACTAAACCAACCAAACAACCAAACAACAGGGCTGGGCATGGTGACGTACACCTTTAATCTCAGTACTTGGAAAGCAGAAGCAATCAGATCTCAGTGAGTCTTAGGTCAGCCTGGTCTACAGACCAGGACAGTTCCAGGACAGCCAGGGCACAGAGAAAACTTGTTTCAAAAAAACAAAACAAAACAAAACAAAACAAACAAACAAACAAAAAAACACAAAAACAACAACAACAACAAAAAAGTTCCAAAACAAAAAAACCAATGAAAAAGTCAGGGTAGTAAAGACAGTTTCACAATTCAGTACTTGCCTACCACACAAGGAGGGCCTAGGTTCACCTCTCCCCAAAATGTGTGGCACATAGCACACTGAAGTTCTATTCAGCTATAAAGTTGAAATTATGCCACTCATAAGAAAATGGATGGAACTAGAGATTATCTATAGGTTAAAAAAAAAATCAGCTACTGCTTGCTTTTTCTCATCTTTATAATCTCTTAAAACATATACATCCTAAAACAAAGTTGAAAGGGATAATTTGAGAAGATGAAAAAGACCACCGGGAAAGGAGGAAGAGGGAAAGGATGGAGACGGAAAGGAGAAGCGAGTATAATTAAAACACATTACATACAGGTATGAAAATGTCATAACAAAACACACTATTTTGTATAATGCACACTGATTAAAAATGAATAGGAAACAATCATTCACGTGTCTCCATGATGCTCACAGAAGGCTACTGTGGCACCTCAGTATAGAACCTTTTACTACTATGACACATGACAGAGCCCTAACCCACTGAGAAATTATTTTAGAAACAAAAAGTCAAGTTTTTAATTTTTTTTTTTTACCAAGTTTTCCAAATGTTCAGTTTGTTGAAAAGGATAGTCAGCTGGGGGCTCTTGGTCACCATAGTAACACAATAAATCCAAAAGACTATTAGTTGTTTCAAGAGAGACTGTGGTTCCTGTGGTTAGGAGAAAAAAAAAAAAAAGAAAAAGAAAAAAGAAAGAACGAAAGAAATGTTCACACACCCAACAACCAAAGCATCTTGAATGAAATTCCTCACTTTTTTCTATGGATGATGGCTTACTTGGCTACATACTTAATCCTCACTACCACATTACCAATTAGCACATAATGCATGATGGCTTTCTGCTGATTCTGTCCCACTTAACCCCTGTACTGGCTGGTTTTGTGTGTCAAGCTGGAGTTATCACAGAGAAAGGAGCCTCCTTTGAAGAAATGCCTCCATGAGATCCAGCTGTAAGTCATTTTTTCAATTAGTGATCGAGGTGGGAGGGCCCCTTGAGGGTGGTGCCATCCCTGGGCTGGTAGTCCTTGGTTCTATAAGAAAGCAAGCTGAGCAAGTCAGTAAGAAACATCCCTCCATGGCCTCTGCATCAGCTCCTGCTTCCTGACCTGCTTGCGTTCCAGTCCTGACTTCCTTTGGTGATTAACGGCAATGTGGATGTGTAAGCTGTCCTCCCCAACTTGCTTCTTTATCATGATGTTTTGTGCAGGAATAGAAACCCTAAGACATACCCTGTAAACTGTATTTCTGAGTAAATTCATTTGGCATAAAACACAGGTTGTACAAGACCTCTTGACTCCAGCTTTCCTATCTTCTTTATTACCTGATCCCTTGATCACTCCTCTCTGGAACCCATCACTGAAGACCAGCCTGCTGGTCCACATCAATTCTCAATTCTCTTAAACCTGATCCACTATAATAAATACAAACAATTACCCTAACTGGATTCAGGCCCTCATTAAAAATGTACTCAGAACTATTAAAATATCTGTAATTGTAATAGCCTTATAAACAACCTGTTTGACTCCCAGCACCTCAAAAATAAGCAACAATAAAATCCACAAAAAACCTCACTGTTTAAAAGGTGCTAATTCCCACATCAGCACTCACTTTATAGAGAGAAGTTCAAAGGAAAGAAAAGTAGAGGGGTCTGGAGAGATGGCTCAGTGGCTAGGAAAAACATTTGTTGCTCTCTGACAGAGGACCCAAATTCAACTTCCAGAACAGTCACGTGGTGGCTTACAACCCTCACTTTATAGCTTCAGTTTCAGGGATCCAACACCCTCTTCTGCCCTCCAAGAGTATTGGGCAAGCACATGCAGGCAAAACATTCATACACATAAAAATATAATAAAAATTTTAAAAGAACATTTTTCAAAAGGAAGTATTTTTTTTAAAACCCTAAAACACTCAATTTATTAAGTTTAACATAAGCTTAATAACTGGACCATATAAAATGGCCCCATGCTCCGAGAGGGGCTCTGACTAAAAAGTTACCTGCTTGCAAGAGCTGGTCAGAAATGTCCACAGAAGCTATAATGCTAATCCTAGTACTCAGGAAACTGAGGCAGGAGTTCAAGGTCCTCTTTGATTACACAGTGTTGAAGTAACACCTGCGTGGGAGGCTTGTAGCTTTGCCTACAGTGGTATAGCTGTGTGCAGTCACTCAGTAAATGCTTGTAAATTTTTTGGGGCAGGTGTCACTTAAACACCTCAGCACTGAGGAGTTCACTGCAGATCCATAACTGTCGCTCACATTCAGGAAGCAGAGGTAGAACCTCAGCAACATTTTGGCTGGTGTCACCATTGAGTTGTGAGTGTGATACATTAGAAGCTACATAAGCAAAATTCTTCAAAAAGGGTTTAAGAAAATATTTTTAGGTTCAAATAATGTTAAATGATTTGTCCAGTTTCTTTTATGTTTAGCAAAATTTTTATTCTAATTCACTTAACAGCAGTGTAGACTCCCAAAATTTAATGGTAATAGCTGACTTTGAAGAGACCACAAGTATATTTACAGTAGCATTATCAACCATGCTACCTAGACTTATACTGATTAACAAAGTCATCCAGATCTAATTCAAAACACAAAGGACATTAGTTAGATGCTCAGAAAAATTACGCACAAGACTATTAAGTGAGGAGGAATCCTATCAATATCAAAGTTCCTGATCCCCACTGAACAAGTCTTTCTTTTAAAACATTTCTCTGGGGCTGAAAAGATGCTCAGTAGTTAAGAGCACTGGCTGCTCTCCCATAGGTCCTGGTTTGATTCCCAGCACCCACAACAGTGGTAAAACAACCATCTATAAGTGCAGTTAGAAGGAGGATCAGAGGCCCTCTTCTGGTCTCCTTAGACACTAGGCCCACAAATGATGCAGATATACATGCAAGCAAAACACTCACACACATAAAATAAAGATAAAGTTTTCTGTTTTACTTGGCTCTGCCTTCTCACACCTAATGCTAGAAACAGAGGCCATGTACTTCCTTTGCCAGTGCACAGGACCAAAGCAAGTAAGTGAATAAACCTGCGATTCTATGTAATTATAATTTCTATATAGTTATAATGATTATAATTTCAGGGTGAAGCTAGAGCAGAAAATGAATTATGCATATTATACCACTTAAATCACAAACAACACCATCAAGCAGAGTAAACGTTATTTGCTATTCTTACTCATAGCTAACTGGCCTATAAAATGGTCCCATGCTCAAGAGGGGATCTGATTAACGAGTCACCTGCTTGCAAGAGCTGGTCAAAAATGTCCACAGAAGCTTTGACTTTTTTGAGTTTGATTCGTTCCTTCAGGGCAGCTTCACTTACATCTTCAATCTGAGGTTCAAAGTACTCGGGCATTAAGCACTAGAACAACAGGAGAAGTGAATGACTACAAACAGGCCGAGGTAGCAGGGTAACACTAGGTGAGGCTGTTAGCATCCAGAGACCCAAGTAAACTGGCTGTTCCAGTTCCTGTTTCCTACACCACAGAACACTTACACCTGAACATAAATGTCTTAGTACAAAATCTAAAACAAAATATACAGGTAAGAACAAGAAAGGCCAGTAAACGTCTGCAACCTGGACAGAAGACTGTTTAGACATCTCCTTAACTTAATGAAAATTTAAAAACATTCAAACATTAATATTCACTCCATATTTCCAACCAAGGGTCTCAACCTGAGGTAGATCTAAATACTTTGTTCTCAGTGTTTTGAATTTACTTCATTTACTAATTTTCCAAATATATTTGAATGAGAACGCCTTTCCTCCAAGTCCTAAGCTGGGCATTAGGGATTCTGAGATGTCTGAAGGAGGTGCTCTACCTTCAGAGCACTCCCATTCTAATGACAGTAATGCTGGCAACGTGACAGATACAAGAATAACCAAAAGGGGGCCAAGAGATGGCTCTGTGGTTAAGAGCACGGACTGCTCTTCCAGAGGTCCTGAGTTCAATTTCTAGCCAACACAAGGTGGCTCACAACCATCTGTAATGGGATCTGATGCCCTCTTTTGGTGTGTCTGAAGACACTGACCGTGTACTCACATACAAAAAATAAATGGATAAATCTTTAAAAAAAAAATAAAAAATGAAAAGTAACCAAAAGGACAAGTCTGTGAACATGCCCATGAGGAATTTTCTAGGTCAGGTTATCTGCGGTGGAAATGCTCATTCTAAATGTGACTGGGACGGATCATTGCACACAGGTTCTGGACTGTATATAAAGAGAAAGTGACGCACAGCTTCTGCTCCCACTTCAGTTATACTGTGACTAGCTGCCTGCTGCTTTTGCTAAGATGCTTTCTCTACTCTAAGCTCTAAAACTTTCCTTCATTAAATTGCTTCTCAGGTATTTTGTCACAGCAGGAAAAGCAATCCACACAGGGATAAAGGCAGAGAGCTTAAAAGAGGGTCTGTAGTCCATCACCAACACAAACCCCCAGAGACAGAGCTAATTACAGTACAGTGTGCAATGAAACCACCTCAGAGGCAGGAGACCCCACAGAGCTTCGAGAAGCAGTGATGCCGAAGCCAAGCATAGGAATATTGCCAGCCAAAAGGGCGAGTGATGGGCCAACCAATGAGCATTCTACAACTGCCACTGTTCTAATACTCTTACTACACGACTGTGCTGGCTTGCTGGTCAGTCACATAAGCTGCAGTATAAGAGGACAGCTTGTCTGAGTGTGAGTTTGGGGAACAAAGGGGAAGGGAGAGGCTGCAGGGCAGACACTCTATAGACACTGCACAATTCCTGGCTCAAGGAGTGTCAGAAGTATCGTCTCAAGCCCCAAGAAGAATAATGTGGGCAAGACAGACAACAATGCCAATGAAGTGCAAAAATGAGCAAAACAGAAAGTACAGACTGTAAAAGGGAAAAACAGAACATAGAGCCCTCATAAAGATAACATTTATAAGGAAATGCCAGAAGCCACTAGAGGTCCCTGAAAAGGAACTGCCACAAAGAAGATTCACACACAAAAAGGAATTTTAAAAGGTTAGCAAAGGTTCTCACTCCAATATCCTGGGCACTAATATGGCTAAATCAGCTTTGGAAGTATGATTTAATTTGTATTCACATTACTATTACTATGTAGAAGACACAATCACCTCTCCTTACCGGTATATGAGGCTCAGCTATATCCTTTTGGAAATATTTGGGATGTGAATTAATAATAAATTTCGCTGCAGTCTCTCCAGACTTCTTTGCCAATAAAAATGAACGCTATATAAGAAAAAAAAATACAAATTAACACTTACATATTAACTTAGACTCAAGCAAAACTACACCCTCAGCAAGAATTCTCCCTTTCCCCCAGAAAAAAAGAATACAGTAATACAAGAAGTCCCACTTTGCCATTAATTTCAGGTCATGTTTTATATACAATACACCACAGACACAAGTTTTGCTTAAGTGTTAGTTAAGACCTTAACATTAAGAAAAACAAATAGCAACAAAAACTAAACCAAAACCTTTTTCAGAAACAATACTTAAATATTTTTTTTGATAAAATTAAGATTCAGAGTCTACCAATTTGTCAGTATTTGTAAGCTTTTCAAGGTTTCTTATTTTAATAATTTAGCTACTTATATATCCTTACACAAACCAGTAAGGCTTTTAAAAGTTACTAGAAAAGTTACTCAATAGCACTCACAGACTCCATAGTAGAGGTTGGAATGAGGAAAGGGTCATCTTGAAATACATAAGGCACAGCTGTAGGATCCTGTGGAAAAGGCACACATATCTTTTTAGATTTTTGCTACATTTATCTAAGCTTTACTAATCATAAGTTCTGTAAAACAAAATTTTAATTAGACATACATGTAGGAATATGATCATATGCCTGCATATATAAAAAGAAAACACACACATCAGTAAGACTTTTCTCCAATTTTGTGCAACATAGAGCTGGTAAGTACAAACCCTACTGCTCCATCTTAAAAGGTTTTGTCTTCTCTTGTTACTAGGATAGAATTCACACACATTAATTAATAAGCATTTTAGCACTGTGCTAATTCCTCAGCCTATTTCTTCGGATTTCAGCGTGCTGTCAGGACTATCACTGTTTTAAACTCTAGTTAAGGACCCATGAATTAACTACTCTTGCTAAGAGTTTCCTGCTATAAGATTTCCTTCACTGCACAGTCACTATGTGCCCATGTGCAACTTTAATGGAGAGATCCTTCTCCAGGGGCTTGGGAATGGCTTCATAGATCCAGCACTTGCCATACAAGCACGAGTCACAGAACTCACAAGTATGGGATGGGTATGCCAGCCCTCCTATATCCCAGATACTGGCTAGTTAAACTAGCCTTTTTTCATTGAGCTCTCCATTCTGCTGAGACCTTGCCTCCCAAGAATCAGGTGGACAGTTGTTGAGCAGTTCATCTGTCAATAAGTATCTGAAATGCTACTCAGAACTGTGTGTGTCTCTTGGAGACCTAAGGAGGTATCAAACCCCAGCTCCCTAACCTACACAGTCACCTCTCCTCCTGTTAGGGTGTTCTATGTGGACAGCTGACCTCAAAGTTGTAATGCTCCTTCCTGCCTTAGTCTACAATGCTTCCAAAGTTTTTGAGTTTGCACAACTACACCCAACAAAATCTGAATTTGCTTTTTTTTTTTTTGGTCTATCCTAGAACTCATAATGTAGATCAGACTAGCTTCAAACTCAGAGCTCCTCCTGACTCTGCCTCTCAAGTGCTGGGATTAAAAGCATGTTCTACCACCCCCATCAAAAGATCTATATTTTGACCAGCGGAAAGACCCATATCTAGAGTCAGTACAACAGACAATGGCGGCATGGTTACCAAATCCCTCAGAAATAAACACCTGTTTTATAAACTAATTAATTTTAAATTTAATTAATTACTTTATGTCATTTTTAGAAACAAATATTTCAAGATCCTTTTCCAGTAATTAAAAATTATTAGTATGAGCTGGGCCCGGTAGTACACACCTTTAAAAAATCCTAACACTTGGGAGGCAGAGGCAAGAGGATCTCTATGAGCACAAGTCCAGCCTGGTCTACAGAGCGAGTACCAGGACAGCCAGAACTAGATTATAGAGAGATCCCGTCTCTAAAAGCAAAACAATATGAACACAGAATTATCAGTAAGCTGCAAAAACACTACGTGGGCGTCACATTCTAGCCAACTTATGCTGGTCCCTTCAAAACCTGTTTTCCTACTTTCCAAAAGGAGAGATTTGATTAGCTTTTAAGAAAATTTCTAGATATGCAGCAGTTTAATTATGAATAAAAGGCTGAAACATTGAATGTGTTATTAACCCTTAAAATCCTACTTACCCTGTTTACTGTGGATGCAAGTGCCTGAAGAACAGCCACTTTTTCCCTGGAATAAGAACCATAAGTCAACCTTTATCAAGACTATTCATACTTACAAGATGAACAAGTCACTCTGCTCTCCGAGGACACTGGGCATAAAACAAAATGACAATTCATCTCTCACCTAGGGCCAGGACTTATTTCTCAAAGCCACTACAACAGAAATAGGTGAGACGCAGGCATGACTGCAAATCCTATAATCTCAGAAGGAGAAAGAGGCTGGATTGAAGGTTTGAGACCACCTGGACTTCAGAGCTAGACTCTAACTCAGTAATCAAGTGCTAGAGAATAGAGCTTAGAGTTCTTGTAGGGAAGACCCTGAGCACCAAAAGCCTGGTTCTTTTGACATCTAGGTACACATTCCTCCTTCCCTTTGTTTCAGATGCACTCTAAGTGGTCTCTAATATCACTCACTACCCAGGAAAAATGATTCCCTCTCTCTACCCATGAACCTACCATGCTGACTTCCTTCAACTCACTTAGAGCATCTCTCTGGACTCTTGCTATCTATCTAAACTATTGGCTCTTACCTCTACCATGGAACTAAAGGAAAGCTGCTACAGTGACTCACTTGCATCCTTACTATGGTGTCTGATGTCATAGTGTGATCCTACCCAACATCATCTTCTTATCTCCAGAAAAAAATTTCTTTTGAGACAGGGTTTCATATAGTCTAGGCTGGTCTGAAACTCCCTGTGTTGCTGAGGATGACCTTAAACGTCTGGTCCTCTTGTCCCCCCATCCTTGGTGGTAGGACAGGCACGTACCACTAAACCCAGTTTTAACCAGTATCAGGAACTGAAGCTGAGGCTTCAATTGTTCAAGGCAAGTTCATTATGAACCCTCCACTTCCAGGAACTTTTAAAGGTAGTTTTAAGCATAAGCAGACTAAAACAGAACAACAAAAGTAATCAAAACCAACTTGGTGTCACTCGGCACATGTTTACATGGGTTTCCATTATCCACGTGACTATCCAGATGTACCTAATGTCTTCACATGCTACGTCTACTCCAAAGACGGGAGTCTAGGCTGTTTCAACTCAGAGTGCTCTCCAGCTCTTTGGGTACATATGCAAGGGTTCCTTCTGAGTAGCCAGCCAGTAAGATACATTTTCTTAAATTCTGATCCCATTTCTGTCCAAATTATTGTTAGAATTTGCTCTTCCATCAACAGATACTTCTGAGCACACATTTTCACTCTTTGCTAATCTGGAAGGTTTTAAATTATATTTCTTGTATAAATCCTAGGTAGGCTTCTTGTCCTCTTAATGTAAACTAACTTCATTCACTGCCTTCATCATGTCATTCTCATGTAAGAAAATCCACAACAATTAAAATCTATTCATGTTTCCTATGGCATTGTGTGATCTGGAAGACCACAGCCTTGAAGGAAAAAGGCATGTATAGTCTGAAAATACATCTACTAAGCCTAGAAACCAGAGGCTCTACATCAGGGTTCAATATCCACCCTACACCACCTCTTTTTTGGGGTGGGGGAGGTGAGGGTGATAAAGGTAGGGCTGCACACAATAAAAGGTAAGAAATATGTGAACAAGGTAAGCTGCAATCCACACAAAATTTGACATTTTTAAATATAATTTTCAAATTACTTTATTATTTTTTTTAGTCTCTTTCCCTCAACTACATAAAAACCATTCCTAGCTTATAAACTGAATTTTTTAAAGGCCTTGACTTGCTAACCATTTCTTGATTCCTAACAACATTCTCCACAGGCCTGCCTGAACTACCACCATAATCGACAATCACGTCACATTCTCCCTCCCTGCACCCTTTATCTAATGCATCTCACTATTCATTAGTGAGAACTGGCAACAGGAAGAGGCATTTTTAAAAAAATGGCTGGCTGGCCTGGAACTTGGGATAATCCTCCAACTTCGGCCTCGAGTGCAGGAGGAGTATGCCACTACAAAACAACACTCAATATATACCTAAATTCCAGCTAGCTATACGGGTAAAACTGCATACATACAGGACTATAAGATACAACACAGGCGGGTGACAGCTAGACTGTAGCACACTGTAAATGTTCTTCCTGGTGCATTTCTTGCAGTTTTCTGGGTATAGAGGTTGGCAAAGGGCTATAGCCGGGATGCTGTACTCACAGGTAACCAAGTCCCTCCCTATTCTTAGCTCCGACGTTTCATCATCCCTATTCCTGTTTTTAAAGACAGGGCATTACTGTATGAACTCACTAGGAACACTTGTCCTTAAATGCACAGATCCTTGTGCCTCTGCCCCTGAGTGCTGACACTAAAGGAGTATGGTACCACGGCCAGCCACTGTTCCTACTCCTGTGCGGGGGGAAAACAAATGACTCTAATCATGTTTATATAATGGCATCATACAGCTACAAATCAAAAGTATTATACAAGAAAGTACACCTAATAGTTTAATTATAAACTAAATGTATAGTTTAAACATAGAATCATATCACAAGACTTAAAAAATAACAGCCAACATAGTATTTGTCTATGTGCTAGGCACTATTTAAATCCTTATGTTTTATTTACAGTAATACCCAAAATACTCACCATGTTTTCTTTTTTGGAATGACTATTTCTTCAATCCCTTACAGAGAAAAAATAAAAATAATCAATTTTCTAACCCAAAGAAATACAATGTCTTTTCATTAAAAAAAAAAAAAAAATCTATTTCCATAGTTTTAAAAATACCTGTTATATCTGTTCCTTCAACCTTTGGGAGGGACTCACTTGCAGGATAAAATCTGTATTAAAAACAAAACAAATCCTCATGTTAGTACTGCTCGCTGATGGTCTCAGCTCTTCTCCACCCGCATGCACACATTTCAAGCCGCATTTTCTAATTACCAAAGGTCAAACAGACCAGGCTGTATACCTAACACCAACGTGTGCTAGGACGGCATGGTTAAAACAGCATGTTCAATGCACATACTACAGGCAGGCAAGATTGACTGATTCATTCATTTCTGATGTTAGAAATCAAACTAGAGAGAGCCTAAACTAGACTAGGCAAGCTCTGGATCACTAAGTTACAGTCTCAGCCAAGATTTGATTTTTTTGTTTGTTTGTTTGTTTGTTTTCAGGACAGGGTTTCTCTGTGTAGCCCTGGCTGTCCTGGAACTCACTCTGCAGACCAGGCTAGCCTCGAACTCTCGAACTCAGAAATCCGCCTGCCTCTGCCTCCCAAGTGCTGGGATTAAAGGCATGCACCACCACCGCCCGGCTCAGCCAAGATTTTTTAAGCATGTACTCTCATTACAAAACAATCTAGATTAAAAGGGGAAAATTTAATAGCACTGGAACAATTTGAACAGCTGCTTTGAAATACACAGAAATTAACCTGCTTGGATCAATTCAGTTGAGCTATTTTTATTAGATATTATCCAGATAGCATAAGCCTACCTGCCTCACTTAAAGCGATCAGAACAGCTAAGATCACCCATAGCTTTATCATATTCCATTACTTTTAATAATTAACAATGTACTAACAACACAAGGCTTTTAATCACTATATTCTTAGAGCCTCAAAAAATTATTTTTGTCCAGAATACAAATACTGGCTCATGATTAAGTTTCAGAATACCATATTCATGGATAACTCCACACTTAATATCCTAAAATAAAATCAACAAAGATAAAGGTGCCATTTTACTTATTTTTAAGAAGCTTTTATTATTTTGTGTGATTGCACCCACATGGCCACACAGCAACTTTGTGGAGCTGGTTTTCTCCTTCCAGTTTTCCCTACAGTTCTTTCAGTTATCACCACTTAGTATTTACTCTAGAGATTTTTCTACTATCAACCAACTGAATATAACAATGAACATAAAATTTTTTATTGGGTAGGTGATTTTAACTCAGTAGTAGAGTGGGTAATTAGCTCATATGAAGTCTCTGGATCAATATACAAAAATAAATAAAATTGGGTTTCAAGTTTACACAACACCTAAATACTTCATACTTCCACCAGGCTACTGTATGAAGGATGTAAAAAGAAATTACATAAGTATTTGCAACATGTTCTAAGTTGTAACTGTTACCATCAGATCGAAAGACTAGGGTCAGACGTTTTAAGGCTTTTCTGTTTTTACTAAAGCCTTATCTTCTTAGCTCAAGGTTCTCATAACGCTCAGTCACACTGGTGATAATAATCTGCCCTTTATTTGGGAAAGGTCTATTACTTTGCCCTTTCTTTTTGGCAGGGTTAAAATAAATACGGGAAGGGGTTTAAAGAAATTTGTGTAGGGGCTTGTAGAGGCACTCACGGAAACTTCACATGAACAGGACCTTAGTTTAAAGGGTAATTTTACCTCTATATAGAATAACAACCAACCAACAAAAATCTCCCGAAAGAATACTCGCAGTTCGAAACTTAAATCAATACGCGACTACCTCGTGTTAGCTACCCTTGAGAGCGCGGGGCCTCCACCATGCAAATACCTTTGCATCTTACCTAGTTCCACGACTCTCAGGGAAATGCAAGATCAAACTGACTCTGGGTCTTCTTACCTGCAACAGAACTTCGGTTCACACACACCCGCCCCCCGAATGGTCTGCAGCAGGACTAACCCGCTGCGAAACGGCAAACGGCGAGTGGCCGCCGCTGCCGCCATCTTCAGATTCTTCGCAGAGCGCGTTGGGAACGCCCTCCGCCGACGGGGTCGAGGGGCGGGGCTGGAATGGAACATCTCATCTCCAAATGGGTGGTTACAAGGTCATGTTTGGCAAGACTAGCAACGGAAGGCTCAATACACATCATTCACCTCGAATAAATTTACTTAAAATGCTCTCCTAACGTCTCATGTGTAATTTTGTTTTTAAACTGAATGAAGGTTTTGAGACTGTTTTCTTCCACCCACTACTCGACCCCGAAAGCAAAAATGAACTCGTCCAAGCCAATACGCTAGGCCGCGTTTCCCGCACGCAAGCGCAGTGAAAAACACATGGTGGCTCTATGCAGTAAGACTGAAGCGGAGTTCTCTGTGGCTGACTGAAACTTCTCTCATAGTGACGGACCTCAAAACTGACTCGGAAGATGCTGGCCTCCAAGCACACGCCATGGAGGCGGCTTCAGGGCATTTCTTTCGGGATGTATTCGGCCGAGGAGCTCAAGTAAGGAATTAGTAGGGTGTGTGTAGAGCAGGGTTGTGGAAGTTGGAGCCGGGAACTACGATTCCCAGAAGGCTTTGAGCCGATCCAGTGTGTGTGTGTGTGGGGGGGGGGGGTTGTCCTTGCTGCCTGCCTGCGTGCTAGTAGTAGGAATGAATGCAATGGAAGTGGTCTTTTCATGTGTTCATCTTCCTCATTAATCAACTAGTTTTATGTCATTTATACTCTCATTCCGTCACACGCTTATCAGCTTTCTAATTAGTCTCCTCTGGTCCAAGTAATGATGAACTTTTAAATTTTGGATCAAGATCATGGTTATGAATTCCTGGTGACTCTTCTTTAATCCTCATTTTGATCGCGTTAGCATACACACTTTTTAGACTTTCACCTAAAACTCAACGTGCCGTCGGGCCGTGGTGGCGCACGCCTTTAATCCCAACATTCAGGAGGCAGAGGCCAATCTGGTTTACCAGAGTGAGTTCCGGAACTGCTTGGACACAGAAAAACCCTGTCTCGAAAAACCCAAAAATTAAAAAGGTACACCACGCTGTGGTAACATCACCACTCCCCTCACCTCTAGAACACACCATCTTAACATTGCAAGCCCCTGCCCCTGCCGCATGGCAGCCACCTGTTTACTTTCTATTTCAGTTACTCTGACTGTTCCAGGCCCCTATTTAAATAAACGGAGTCAGTCAGTGCCTGACTTGTTGTGACTGGCTTATGCGTTTAGCATGCTGTCCTCAAAATTATAGATAAGTAGATAAGAACTTATTTCCTTTTTAGGGTTAAGTAAATAGTACATGGTCTATATACATGCCATTTCATCAGCTCATCTGCTGATGGGCATTTGGGCTATTTCCAATTTTTGGCAATTGTGAATAATGCTTCTATTAAGGTGTGTGTATATACCCAGACTCAGAATTCCTGGTTCAGACATTAATGCCATTTTTAACTTTTTAAGGAAGAGTTACTCTGTTTTTCATAATATCAGCACCATTGTATGTTCCCTTCAACCATATATAAAGATTCCACCCTCTCCACATCCTTTTCAGCTGTGTGTGTGTTTGTGTGTGTTTGTGTGCTCGTTTTTTCAATCGTACACTGATGGGTTGAGGTGGTATCTCACTGTGGTTTTGACTTGCATTCATTTGAGAATAATGAGCAGCTTTTCATGTAATTTTTGAGCATTTGTGAATATTCTGTTGTACTATGACTATTTAAATCTTCACTGCCTGTGGTTTTCAGGAACAGCAAGGAGGCCAAGGTGACTGGAGTATAAAGTGAGGTCAGAGACCAGGAGCCCCCCACCCCTGTGTCATTTTAAGGGCATGGCGTTTACTCTGATGGAGAGGGAAAGCTACCAGTTCTCACTCGATAAAAGAGAGCATTAATTGTTTAGTGCCAGATCCAAAACTTTCAGCATTGGTCTCACCAAGGGAAACCTTTGTGGGTCGGCAGTTCTCAACCTGTGAGTTTCTACCCCTTTGTGGGTCAGATATCAAACATTTACATTACAATTCATAAAAGACGCAAAATTACAGTTATGAAGTAGCAATGAAATAATTTGAAGTTGGCGGTCACCACAACATAAGCAACTGTATTTTGCGGGTTGCAGCATTAGGAAGGCTGAGAACCACTGTTGTGGGTTTATATGAAGTACCCTTTTTCCAAGGGCAGACTCCTAGAAAGGTTGTAAGGGTGCTATTAGCTTGGTTACATTTGCACTTCGGAGTAAATTTGCCAGCTGTTGGAGGGTGGACAGGACTAGATAGGTGCGAGGATGGAGGAGGAAGGAAAGGACGGTCAGAGCATGACTGGAGAACCGACCTAGGACAGTGGCAGGAGAGAGAAAAAGGTAAGATTTGATGTGTAGGTGACATAGCAAAAGCCTAATACAAACCAGGTGTTAGAATGGAAAGGCAGTTCCTTTTAGTTTGTGAAAGAGGAGTACATGTTGAGGGATTTGGGGGTTTTTGGTTGGTTGGTTGGTTGGTTGATTTGTTGGTTTTTCGAGTCAAGGTTTCTCTGTGTAGTCCTAGCTCTCCTGGAACTCTGTAGACCAGGCTGTCATGGAACTCCCAGATGTCTGCCTGCCTCTGCCTCCTTAATGCTGGGATAAAAGTCTTGTCACCACCGCTCCACCCACTCGACTCCGTGTTGTGTACTTAATACCCCGGAACTCTTAAAAAATGATTAACGTGGCCGGGAGGTGGTGGCGCACGCCTTTAATCCCAGCACTTGGGAGGCAGAGGCAGGCAGATTTCTGAGTTCGAGGCTAGCCTGGTCTACAGAGTGAGTTCCAGGACAGCCAAGGCTACACAGAGAAACTCTGTCTCGAAAAAAAAAAAAACAACAACAAAAAAATGAATAACGTGTTAAGTTTTATGTATATTTTATTGTAGTTTGAAAAATTAGAGTTGAAAACAAGACAGCTAAGTAATTTGTTTAACATTACTGACTCCATGCTGGGGGAAAAGACCACAGACACATCATTGAGTTAAAGTGTCTGTTGACGTTAGCTTAGCAGCGGAAAGGTAACCACGTTGATGAGAGCCGCAGCAGCAGAGCTCTCTGAGTAGCCTTGGTCCTTACAGTGGGCTTGACCCTGGGAGTCTCCCGGCTCTGCACAGCTTTGCTCCTTATGCACTACCATCAGTTTACCTGACCACACAACTCACTTATTTGTTGTCGTTCTTGCTAGGGTGCAAAATCAGGACGGTACCTTTGTCCTTACGTTTATTTTCTAACCTGGACCTGGGTCCTGAAGGGGACTTGCCAAGGGATGAAAAGATAGAGGATAGGATAAAAGCTGGGGTCCGGAGGTCTTACACAAGCTATGTCTATGCCAAGCAAATTTATTATGCCAAGAAGTACAGCATCTTATATACTATTTGTAGGGGGAAAATGGCCAAGATCAACAGAGAGCTAAGTTGGACAATGTTGGCAAAGAATACAGAATACCTCAGGCATGGCTGCCTGAGGACTGGTAACCATATCCCAGAGGGAAGAGTTGGGTCCAAAGAAGCTGCAGCCTTGACCTCTTTGAGGCATTGGGTCCTCTCCTAGACTGGCTTTGTCAAATCCACTCCCAGACAAGGACACAGAACTAATGTTTTCTTTGTCCTTTCATCAGAGCCTGCCTCTGAGAAAGTCTTGGGACAATCTGGCTCCCCTCAATTTTCTAAATTAGAAGAGATTTAAAGGGCAAAATTGGCTTTGTAAAAGTATATTTGTGTGACATTTAAGGAGATTTTCCAACTGTTACATTGTATGAACATCCAAATACAGTTGGGTAGAGCACACATAGGCTGTATGATGGTTACTGTTACATGTGGCACAGTAACATGCTCTTGGTGGTACATGGCTAGTTATTTGACAGTCCCATTAAGCAAAGTAATGAAACCTTGCATAAAGTAAGTTTTGTTTTTTTATGGTTTTATTTGTGATTAATTTTCTTGAATCGTTATTCTGTGCACAGGAGTTATTGTTTGACATTTCCTTCATTGAACAAGTTGGGCTTTTAATCAGGTCTGGTTTATAACCTGCCTCTCTCACTTCAGTATCAGAGAAGTTAATAACCTGAACTTTCCCTGGGTCTTTCTTTAATCTCTTTAGGAAGTTAAGTGTTAAATCCATTACAAACCCTCGCTATGTGGACAGCCTGGGAAACCCTTCAGCAAACGGCCTGTATGATTTGGCTTTGGGTCCTGCCGATTCCAAAGAAGTCTGCTCTACATGCGTGCAGGACTTCAACAACTGCTCCGGACACCTGGGACACATTGATCTGCCACTCACAGTCTACAACCCTCTCCTCTTCGATGTATGTGTTGTCCGGGGCATGTGGGTCTTGGGACTTCTGGGGTTGTGGGGATCACCTCTTGTTCCTCTTTCTTTAGGGGGAAAAAAAACTTTTAGGGACCTAGAATGGCACAGCCTAAGTGTCCATTGTCCAAAATGCTTGAGACCAAAAGTGTTTAGAAATTCAGATTTTAGAATACTTACAGCCTATGTAATGGTGATATTGTAGGAATGAAACCCAAGTATAAACAAAGAATTCACTCTTAAATGGCAGTTGCAGCGCACGCAGTGGTGGCACACGCCTTTAATCCCAGCACTTGGGAGGCAGAAGCAGGCGGATTTCTGAGTTCGAGGCCAGCCTGGTCTACTGAGTGAGTTTCAGGACAGCCCAGGCTACACAGAGAAACCCTGTCTTGAAAAAAAACCAAAAATAAATAAATAAATAAATAAATAAAGAAAGAAAGAAAGAAAGAAAGAAAGAGAGAAAGAATTCACTCATAGTTTATATATACCTCATATACTCAACCTGAACGGAATTGTATGTATTTCTAATGTGTCTACATCTTTACTTCAGTCCAAAATCATGAAGTCAGGTGTTAAATTTGTTTGTATATAAGGGCTCAAGAAGTTTAGCATTTTAGAGCCTCAGATGAGGGATGCTTACCCTGTAGCTTCAGTTTAACCTACAGACTTACCAAGAGTTTCAGT